AGGGCGGTTCTTGCCCCCTGTCCTGAGGTTTAAGGTGACAAACACATTCTGTGCTTGGAGATATCTACACGGCCGTCTTGATTTTGGACATGCAAGTCTACAGAGGTTTGGGGAATATGTCCGTCCTCCACCGGGTAGATTAATGAGGGTGTCTCCTCTAATGTAGGGGAACTCCCTAGAAAATCGGGCAGCCTGTCTACAGCCTGTGCACTGAATGCACGAGGCAGCGAAACAATCGGAAAACTGTCGGGTATTAGTCCCGTCCGGAAAGGGACCATCTACCTACCCCCTGTTCCTTCTCGATGTGGACACCATCTCCGTGTGTGACTGCCTGGCCTCACCTCTTTCTGATCCCCAAAACATCAGGACTCAGTCTCCTCCCGAACTGTATTGCACGGTCCCTGACTCTTCATGATGAGAGTGGTACCCAGATTGACTTGGGCGTGCAGCTTTAGCCTCACACACTCTACCCCTTTGATATCAACCTGGGAAGCTTAAAAGGCATCCTGATGCCACTGATTCAAGGTGGACTCACGGGCTTCCTCTCTAGGTTTCACCCCGTGTTTCCCCCATCGCAGGGGCGTGAATGCCACAGCAGCTTGGCTCTGCTCGAAGGTGACATCTTCAGGGAGGTCCACATTCCTCCCTCTGTGACTCAGAGTGAAGCTCTTGCCGCCTCTCCCCCCTAAAACTCAAAACACAAAGCCTCACCTGTCTCCTTAAGCAAATGTTCCCCTGCCCCAGAGAATGCCTGACTCACTGGGATCCAAGTAAATACCAACTGGGTAGAAGAAAGGATGACTAAAAATGAATGGACAAAGGAAAGACATTGGCTAAGTTCTGAGAACTCGCTCCCTTACATTTGTTTGTTTTTAAAATTTATTTACTTACTTTCAGTCCAATAATTCCCTCATTTCAGAATTATCTTAGATGAATTTTGTCTTTAGAAACTGCTTAAGTAGTTTAGGGATCTTAATGAGAACGTTTCACGGGTTAGCAATGTGGGGTCTTGACAACAGTCATTGAAGAAAAGATGCTCACTCTAGTTCTGTTCTGGAGAATTAAGACAGACTTGTCTGGGATTTGAACCCGGGACTTCTTGAGCTCTGAACAAGAAATCCCATCCCCAGACCTCTTGAGACTTTAGGGGTAAATCTTCCAGGGTGCAACAGGATGCTAAGTATCACTTCCTGGTCCCCATCCCTTTACTCTTTTATCAACGACTTCTGGACCTGCCATTCTCATGCGCACGGTGTGGGGTCCGAATGAAGCTGTCATTAGAGGTGCAGCCTCTTTGGTGCTGACTTCTTCAGAGAGTTCATTTCTTCTGCCACAGGGCCAGTGAATGACTCTTCTGCCTGCTGCCATCCAGACTTGGACCTGGTTACATGGTTATTGCAGGCCCTGCAGGATGGATGCTAGAAGTGGTCCTCAAGCGAGGGGTGGTGGTGGGGGTTAGGGAATGTGGCATTTTTCCATTCTCCCTTGGCCAGCCTCTGCCTGTAGAATTCACTGTGTTCAAATCATACAGTGTCACTTTCTCTTTTGAGAGGTGATGATCTGAGGAGCCTCACACTCAGGAGACACTGACTTTGACCAGTCCTGAGTGTTGTAAACTTGAGAAAATTTAAAAACAAAATTCCACATCTCTACATCACAATTGCAGGAAGAATCTCCAGTGCCATCTTCTGGTGATCTGGGGAAATGCAAGAAACGTGGGTGCTGCCAAACATGAGGACGAAATTACCCAACGTGCCTGATATTTTTAAAGAGAGGGAATGAAAATAACAAAAAGACCATAAGTCTGTGTTTTGGGGAGGAACCTATGATTACGTAGGGTTGTAATGTCTAGGTAGGAGTGAGAGCGTGCCTTTCTCTGGAATGGTAAATTTGGAAGTATTTTTTATAGCATCAAACGTTTCCATTTAGCTGGAGGTAAGTAGGAAAAGATGGGTTGGGGATGGAAAGGAACTCTTAGGTTTCTCAAAGATAGGATTGAAATGATTTGTCTTCCTTCTACCCAGAGAGGACAAAGCATACATCCAAAAGGCAAGAAGGCCACCTGGTGTAATCCCTTGTGGCTGCCCAGGAGCAATAGTTTACCACCTCCCCTTGCGGGGACGTCAGCATCCTGTAAAGTTGGAATATAAATCAAGTGATAGTTAAAAGTCATTTAACCCATTAAGATGCGTTACTCTTAGTCATCAGAGGACTTAAATATTCCTGCAGACCATTTTCTTGAGAAAATATTTCTTTTAATGTAAGGAAGAGTTGCTATAAAGCTCTGAGCACATTGGTGCTGTTTCCCCCCCCTCCCCCGCACTGGGGACATTTCATACACTGGCTTGAGCAATGATGGGTCAGTGCCTTCCTAGTCTTTTCGGTAAGTGTGAGAATAGATGTGCTCCAGTTTTAGTGGGCACTCGGAACTGGTGGCTGGAGGACAGTTGAGGCAGGTGGGTGGGCATAGGTTATTATGACTAAGAGTTAAAAATGCAACACAAGAAGATTTTTTCTTATTCAAAGACAACTCAGAGATGACCACCCCCCCCCACCACCACCACCCCCAAGTTGAAAGATTCCCTGCCTTCCTCTCCAGCCAGCTAGCTTGTGCCTCACTCTTGACTGTCTTTGTTGGTCTCACAATTCACCTGTGGCCATGAGCATGTGGTACCTGCACTCACACACACACACACACACACACACACACACACACACACACCTCCCCCACCCCTGCGATAGTCAACTTTTCGTCATTGTGACGAAGGCCAGAGAAAGGACAACTTAAAAACCGGTCTGTCTGGGCTCGTGGTTTTGTTGACTTTGGGCCTGAGGCAAGGCAGGAGATCATGGTGTGGTGAGCAGGTGGGTATGAAGTGAGCAGCATTCACTACGGGGTCTGATAGGTGGAGAAAAATGCCTGGCCCATCAAGACTTAATCCTTCCCTCTTCATACGTAGCCTGTCTAGGCTTCAGCCTTTCGGACGGTGCCAGCTGTTCCTGGGTGGGTGAGCCTTTCTCCCTTAGTTAATTATCTATGGCAACTTTCACAGCCGTGTCTGGAACCGCTTTAGTGATCTCCTTGGACCCCCGCAGTCCATTCAAGGCCAGCTGTACCTCAGCCCTATCGTCTGCCTTATTTGTTGCTTATTTGAGACAGGATCTTATGTATTCCACACTGGCCTTGAACACTCTACGCAGCAGAGACCCCTCCTGCCTTCCCTTCCAAGTGCTGACACCAACTATCCTCAGTGTTATGCAGTGATGGGTCAAACCCAGGCTTTTGTACACTAGACAGGCACTCTGCCAACTGAGCGATGTCTCTCTGCCTTTGTATGCTTTCTGTATCCACTTTCTCTCTAACAATAGGCTCATTTCTTCATACCTATGCCCTCGTCCCTCACATGTAATAATACTGCTAGATATATCTATATCTATCTCTCTATATATCGACTGAATGTCTATGGAACTTCAAATGGCCACCACTTGGAAACCTTTCAAGTAGACATGAGCTGAAGCTCTTCTGTTTTTGTTTCCATACTATGGGTGTATGGGAGGGTGTGTTTGTGTGTGCACACACATGCGTGCTGTGTGGTAAGAAGGGAAATGAGTAGTATTTCATTTTGCTCTCGACCTCCGCAATGCTTTCTCCTGCTTCTTTTTAGTCCCTAGTTTATCACGGAAATCTTTCGGGGCTTCGCGCCAGTCAGAAGTAGTTCTCTCCCATCAGCCACCAGTCAGCATCAATGTCTCCACACTTAACTAGTGGCTCCAATCATCAGGGACCCTGACCCCTGTGTGCACCCTAAACTCTTGAGGTCCCTTTACCTACAAGGTCTCGGTTAGGCGTTACGAGGTCCTTCCACATGTCCCCCAACATTTTCAGTGTTCTCCTTCAATACCTGTCCTCACAACTGGCTTGCTAAGCATCCAGATCGTCGAAGCTACAGTGCTTAGCCAGCTCCTTTATGGCCTCCTTTTGGCAGTGAACGTAGAGAGAATATTCGGGTGTGAATTCTCCCCATACTCTTCTCTTCTGATACGGGCTCTTTCTCTCTATTTTCTTCTGGCATGCCTGTGCCTAAGGACACTGACTTTGACCTCTAGAGTTTGTCCCCAGCAAGTGCTGCTCTCTGCTCGCCCCCCATGCCCTTTGACATAGTGACAACTATACTTTGCTTTTCCGTGCTTTCCGTCGGCGTTGTCTGAGAGCTGTCTAAAGGAGCAGCCCGCTTACTGCTTTCGGGCTGTGGCTCACATTCCATGTCACTCGGGCTTCCCAAGATCAGCTCCCATGCGCTCACAGGCGGCCTGTGAAGCAGTCACGTCAACTGTGATGAACTTGGATCCATTTTAACAAAAATTTGCCATGACTTAAAAACGCGACCTTCTCATACCAAGGAAAACACAGACTCCTGGCTTGATTTTGAACCTCAGTAAGATCCTCAGAGACCAACTACCACCCCCGCCAGTTGATGCCAGCTGATGTCACTAACTCCGAGAGCTCCTTAACCGACTACTCCTCCGCTTGGCATCTAGTCTCTTTTTGACTGCATTTGTCACCTCCTTAGCCTACCCTGACCTTTTCTCCTGTTGCCTCTGCAACTCATTTTCTCGCCCAGGCAGGCTTTGTGCTGTGGAGTTGATATGTTCGTTATGATATACTTTTTCTTTTCTGCTTAGCCTGTAGATCTCCCAGTGGCAGGAACTTATTAGGGATTAATGCATAGGCATGAACCATCCTTCAGCAACCTTCAGTGAAGTCCATATTCTTTTTTAAATATAGGTCCTGTCCTAGACTGGATCGTTAATCAGTGTTGACAAATGGTACCCATTTCCCAGGAACTCAGCAGATAGGTACAAAGGGACCCGCTGTAAAACGTCCCCAGACTCCAGTAAGCACTGTTGGTCCAGGGTCCAACTGGTTAGGAAGATTGTCAGTGAAAATCCCATAATATATGTATCGTGGTAATATATATACATTTTGTTTTCTTTTCCAGGTACCCGCTTCATAAATCAAACTCAGAAGACTGCTGTGTAGGTTAGTACCAGTGTCCTTGATTTACATATTTAGTTGGGTTGTTTTTATAGTTCATAGAAGATATATAGACATGTAAGGCTATAGATCTTGGTCACCCCCTCATCTGCCGACTTGGAAACAAACACTATAAACAAACACTGAGTGTCTGTGTGTGTTTGCATCTACCCATGTATGCATGTAGACTGGGGTCCACATTAGGGTCCCTCAGCCACTTTCCACCTTACTTTTTGAGAGGAAGTTCACAGAATCCGGAACTCCACCAGTTCAGCTAGACCAGCCAGCGGGCCAGCAAACGGCGGCAACCCGCCCGTCTGCCTCCCTGGTATAGGGTTGTAGACACTTACCGCTGTGCCCTGCTTTTTATTGTGGGTGGGTGGGTGGGACCCAAGCTCACTCCACGTGCCATAGACCAAGTACTCCACTGCCTGAGCTATCTCTCTCCAGCCCTGGTATTCCATGTGCAATTTCCTTCTCTTTTTTTGCCAATTGGAATTGTTCTTTTGCAAATATAGGTAGCATCATAGTGGACATACTGTTTTATGGCTCTTCAAAATGAGACAGTTTATAAGTATTTTCACTTGATAAATATTCTTAACAGTAAGAGGCTTACTTCTGCATCATAGTAAATATGCTATAAGCTCACTGACCAAGGCTCTTTGCTGGATATTTATTGGTGATAATTTCTTCTGTCACAAACACATGACCCTATCAGAAAATCCCGTAAGTCTGCATCTCTGATGATGTCCTCAGATAAGATCTTCAATTTGGAATGTTTAGATGAATAATGTGCATTTGAGGCATTATGTATTTTATGTAGCCTTGATTATAAGACCTACCCTTGATATAGCAAAGGACAGTCTGCCTGCCAGGGTTTGAATCATGAATGCCACCCCAGCTATTGTAACCCTGGAAAGACACCTGCCTCTCTAAGCCTTGTTTTTCTCTCCTCCTGAATGGAATGAGAACAGGTCCTGTCAGTAGCAGTGGGCATGGTAGGATATAAGTGTAAGTTCAGCACATGGAAACCTGAGCCAAGAAGATAGTGAGTTCAAGGCCAGCCTGAGGTACTTGGTAAGACCTTGTTACCGTTAAAAAGAAAAAGGAGGAGGGCTAGCAGGAAGACGAAGGAGAGGAGGAGAAGGAGCTTGAGTAAGACTTAAATGAAGTAAGCTGTTAAATGACAAAGTGCTTGGGTGTTGTAAGTGAGGATGAGATTTAGCTGTTTTTTTTGTCTCTGTTATATATATGGGATGTGAGAAAGGAGGAAATACAGGCAGAGAAATGCATTATAGCCTCAGACTCCTCCTTAAGAAACCAAATGGCTGACGTTCACTCGGCTTCCACCCTTCTCTCCTGACATCTGCTTTCTGGGGTTCACTCACAGGCAGCAGACCCCACCACACTAGCCTTGAGAACCGGAGAACCTAGGCATTCGGAGGGAGAAGGACTTGGGTTTCATTCCCAGGCCTCTAGGGATGGAGGCATTTAAACCAGGACATCCTGTTTTGACAGATGACACCCTTGCTAGCTTGGGAGCACCAGAGATGGAGTTCCACATGGCTACACCATGCATCATTGCTTGGCACCGCCAGTCTAGACGGTGGAAGCCGCCACTTTGCTGGGCCTTGTTTCCAGTGGCTACGAGGCAACCGTACAGCCACCAAGTGGAGACAGAGCTGCTGCTCTGGGCGCGTGCCACATCAGGACAGTGACAGCCATGGCTGCCACTGCCTTTTCTTTTTAAAGAATGAAGGACTATCGTTCCCATCCACTGATTGTCCTCCCTTATGTTTGCATTTTACAAGTTTTGATGTGCGAGCGTGCGTACGCATGTGCACAGCACCTTGGCTCCCTCGGGAGCCATCCACTTTGTTGCTTGAGACAAGAGTCTCATTGGCCTGAAACACACCAAACCACTGGGGTGGCCAGCCCATAAGCCACAGGGAAGCTTCCTGTTCCTCCCTGTCCAGTGCTGGAGCTATAAATATGTGCCACCATGTCTAGCTTCTCTATTGTGAGTTCTGGGAGGTTGAGCTTGGCTTCTTATGCTTGTAAAACAATCTCTTCATTGACGGAGCTATCTCCCAACCTCTCCGTTTACATTTAAAAAGCTATTTTGTAGTGTCAATTATACTAGAAGCCTAAGATTTTTTTTTAAGTGTCTATAATGACATTTATTTTCCCTGGTGAGTCACCTAATCCTACTCTGAGATGGGTGGGGCGTTAGACCAAATTAGGAGACGTCACAGAAGGATGGGACTCTGCTTTTCTTCTCTTTGTGACCTTGTTCATCTCTGGTACATTGGTCCCCAAGAAGCCTAACCCTTAGAGAGACAGGGATCGTGCCTTACGTGTGCTATGGACCCATGTCACCAAACAGCATAGGACCCAGCCTGAGCATAACAGCTTTTGGGTTTTCCTTATTAAGTTTGAAGTAAGATGAATAAAGTGATGGTGGGTAAACAGAAGGAACAAAACAAAACAAGAGTGAACCTCTGCAAGCCTTCTATTTGTGGCAAAGTGGAAATAATTGTGGCTGCAGCCAAAGGGAGAGGGCGCTCCGCAGTACAGGCAGAAAGACGCGCACTGGCTAAACAAACATCAAAGTGAGCACAAGCGCGTGCCCAGCCTGCCCTTTTGATGTGCCTCGTTTCTTTTCTTAACCCTGTTATGCTTTCCCCCCCTACTAGCAAATTTGCATTTCTTTTAAACTACTTTATAGCTATTTCAGTCTTTCACAAACTGAAGAACTGTCTTTTTGTGAAATCAGAGTGTTCGTTCAAGCTTTGACATTGCAAGAAAGAGACCACTTTTGTTATCAGTGAATTTACTGCTCCTCTCTCTCTCTCTCTCTCTCTCTCTCTCTATCTCTCCTTTGTTTCTTTCTTAAAGGAAAAGGAGACTGGAAGAAGAAAAATAAGTACTTCTGGCAGAATTTTCGAAAGAACCAAAAAGGAATAATGAGACAGACTTCAAAAGGTACAGTGATGTGGCCACAGACCATGGGGTCCGTGGGATCCTCGTGGCTTCAGAATACCCAGAAGTCCTGGCCCCCATGGGCTCCATAACTAGGAATAGCTCATTGCATGGGCCTGCAGAATAGTCAGCTTTTCCGACATTCCTTCCATGACTTCAAGATTTTGACCCCATGAAGTTCTTGAACTCGAAGAGATCGAGATGGAGAGTATCTGGTGGTCCTCTGACAACAGAGACCATGTCTGCAGGCTCCCCTCATACCAGCCTCCCTGCCTTTTCTCGCAAGCTTGCCGAGCACTGACCTCAGAAGGTCAAGGGAATCTTCGAGTTTGTTAGTTTTGGACCCTCGGGTGCATACCCTCCCTTGGAGCCTTTACATTCTTCTGAGCTTCTTGCTCTGTGACAAGGGACAGTTATGGGGTTGTTGCCCCTGGAAACCCTCTGTGGGTCTGACATCATGAGAATTTACCCGGCTGCTCAGTGAAAGGAGCTCTACCCTTTCTCCAATGCCTCGCCTTTGTTTTTGTTTAGATAGCAAATAAATATGTCCTTCCCCGGAGGCTGGGTTATGTAATTTACATTTCTCCCAGTATTCACGAGGAAACCAAGCCATGTCTACTTCCACATTTCTGCCAGACTGAATGGGGTTATCAATAAATGAATGTGTTTTACTGTCAGCCACTGATACTGCCTGTTTGCCATTTACACAATAACATGACCTCTTCCAGGGAAAAATCTCTCCAGTTACTCCCAGCCAGACTCAAGAAACTTGGCCCTGGGTGTTGGCTTCCTCAGCTACACACCTGATTTTTCTGACAGCTCTTGTGTGATTACCTTTCTTAGTTGCTCCCTTTCGGTAGAGACCCAGAATCATCTGTGCTTCCAAATAAACTGCATTCTGACAGAGTCTCACTTAGAAAGGCATGAAGAAAGAAGTCAGGGCCGGAGAGAGGACTCAGGGGTTAAGAACACTTGCTGTTCTTCCAAAGGACCGGAGTTTGGTTCCTAGTATGCATGTCAAGCAGCTACCATTGTATGTAACTCCAGCTCCAGAGATCTGATGTCCTTATCTGGATTCTGTGAGCACCCACGCATAGCATTCATGTATACAGAAACATACACACAGACGTTAATAAAAATAAGTGTTAGAGTTGGGGAGGGGGAAAGGGAGAGAGAGAGGTTAGCAGTTCACCAGTTCACATGGCTTTGTGAAATACCCAACCAGCTCTGCGACACTCAACACAGCAAAATCAGGCTTCTCTCTCTCGGCATCCAGCGAAGCCTTCCGTTTTCTCTAAACTGATTGATTACAAGATGGAAACGAGATGCAGAACACATGGGGAATACAAATCACGAGCCAGGTTCCTCTACTGAGGTTTCCTGGGAGCCTTAAGATAGCTTCCTTAGTCTGTCCCTGCTCACCAAGGGTTTATGAAGCCTTGGCTGAGGTCCTGGCGATACCAGAGGCCACCAGAGTATGTCTGAAGAAAATGAGAGAGAGGAGAGAGAGCAAGGCCAAAAATGTAGCCTCTTTCTGGTGTGCGTGTTAGCTTGCTGCCACCAAGTCCTTTCCCACATGCCGACCAAAGATACAACTCGCCAATGGAGCTCAAATAAGAGGAATAGCAGTGTTTGCTTTGTGGGAGAAGGCCCTTCCTGTATCGATCCGGTGGCCTTCATCTCTAAGTCAGATGATGGCTACCTCTCACATTCTGCAGACCATGTGACTGCAGTCCTTCCAGATATAAATAAATAGCTGTAATACTGGTCTCCCACGAGGTGGACATGCTTAGCATGCGGCTTTATTCGTGTGTTTATCCTGTGCGACCAAGCGGTAACTCAGAGATTCACCAGAGAACTCAGTAGGGAAAGGCAGTTGAGTCAGGCTCAGCGGGCTTGGTTCTGTGGCTTGACCTCCTGTCACAGCAGAGGGTGCTCTTACACAAATACATATGCTTCTCATGCGTCTTTCACATGGTAAAGTACAGAGGATGTTCAACCCAGAGAAGCCTAGGAATGCTTGTCTGGTCAAGTTGGGTGTTTAGAGGAGATTCCTGGCCCACCTGTAACAAGAAATTCCCTGTCAACTGTTTACCATGTCTGGAAGGCCTGTCTCCAAAGTTCCGGTCATTTCAGAGGAGTTGCTTCTGTGGTAACCAGCACAAGTTCTTAGAACACACTGCTTCCCAGACAGACGAGCTTTCAGCTTCCGCAGAAGCAGCCCGGTTCTGTGTATCCCTCCTCCGATCCCTCCATAGCTTGCAAAGTCCACAGCGCACTTGATAAGAGCCCCTCCCTCGCTTGCCCAAGACTCATCTGCATTTATCCGCCTTTAATCCCCAGGAGAAGATGTGGGCTACGTCGCAAGTGAGATAACGATGAGCGACGAGGAGCGGATTCAGCTCATGATGATGGTCAAGGAGAAAATGATCACCATTGAAGAAGCACTCGCTAGGGTAAGACTGAGGGCGCCTGTGACTGCCAGCTGAGCAAATACATGGGGCCATCAGAGGTTGTAGGGATCTCACGGGGCTACTGTGTGTGCGCGCGCGCGCACAGGCGTCTCTATCTGTATCTGTTAACAGGCATCAAAGCCTCATGTATGTATTGGGCTGTTTCTACCCTCTCAACTACATCCTCAACCCCCAAAGGAATATTTTGATGATATTTTAGTAGTCATCAGGTATCTACTTCATCGACTTGATCAAATAAGGTACTTAACCACATTCTATTTGCTTGATACCAGCTTTCCACCCTGTATAAGAAAACATCTGTATTGGTGACAAATTACTTGTCAAAAGTAGCTTAAGGAATGGTTTAATTTTGCTCACAGTTCCAGGGTTCAGTTCATCGCGACAGCATTGGGGGTGGGGTGTGGTCATGGTAGTAGGAGCTTGAGGAAAACGGGGCACGTGTAGGTGGAGTTTCTCTGTCTTGGCAGCCTCTCCCAAATAACCAACAGAGAGACTTAGTATTAATTGCAAACTCTCAGCTGATAGCTCAGGCTTGTTACTAGCTAACGCTTACATTTCAAATTAACCCATATTTCTTATCTACCCTCTGCCACGTAGCAGTCCCTTAGCGTGTTCTTCTTGCTACTCTGTGTCTCTTGACTTCTCAGACTCCACCCTCCTTCTTCCCAGCATTCTCTCTGCCTGGAAAATCCTGCTTAGCTATCAGCCAATCAGCTCTGTATTAACAAGGAGAGCAACACATTTTCACAGTGTACGGAAGGGTTATTCCACAGCAGTCACACTGCATCCATAGGCAAGAGTTAGACAGCCACTAACGTTTGTGCTGGTAATTCACTTTATCTGCTTTATTTTTTCTGCGACCCAAGCCTGTGGGATAGTGGCACCCACATTTAAGCTTGCTTTCTGTATATTATAGAGCTCAGGATCACCTGTCCAGGAGGTGCTCCCACAGTTAAGATGGGCCTTCCCACGTTATTCTTTCTCAAAGAGTTTATCTCCTCCTTTATTATTTAGGCATATGTGTCTGTGTGCGTATATGCCGTGTGTATACAGGATAGAGTTGCATCTCTTGGAGCTGGAGTTATGGGTGGTTGTAAGTTACCTGTTGTGCATGCTAGGAATCAAACTCAGGCCCTCTGAGCGACCAACAAGTGCTCACTACTGAGCCACCCTTTCAGGTCCCCTTACCTGGATCGTTAATGTATTTAAGATAATCGCCGACAGACATGCCCAGGGATCCACATCCGAGACGAGATTCTACATCCTGTGAATTGACCATTAACACTAACCATTACAGAAGGGAAGAATGGAGGAAGGGATGGATAGAGGGAGGGAGGGAGGAAGGAAGGAAGGCGTAAACAAATCACGTAAGGGAAAGGACAGAGACTGACTTTGGAAAGGAAATTTGGCCTCAGAGGTCTGCTCCTAAAGCTACATCTGTGTGAATCAAGAATAAAGTCCTCAGGAGATCAAAAGGCTTGTCAGCTTATAGTTGTCCGGCTAGGTATTTGCTTTGTGTTTTACTTAAAGCTGAAGGTTATCTAGTGACTCCTGAGAGTCAAGGCTAAGGTTAAGTATGGAGTAGAGACCTGGGCCAAACTGACAGGCTCACAGTAATCCCTTTCCACCTGGCGTTTTGTCCCAGCATGCAGGGAGACGGTAGCATTTCAGAAACCATGTATCCTCATAGAAGGATTGGCTCCCCATATTAGTATATGCCCCTGATAATGTGTCAAATATGGAAATGACAAGTGTCAGTGGTAGCAGAATTCTCGGGCCGTATGCTTTTAATGTGATCGGTGTGTGTCCCATCGGCGCTTTGTGGCAGCCGTTTGCTTGTAGTAGTGAGCCTGAGATGGATTCAGTGTCTTCCCCGTTGTCCGAGGGGAGGGGATGAAACAGAGGGGTTCAGTAACCCATCCCAGGGGACCAGCTGTATTTGGTGTCTCTATCCAGGCCTTTACTCTCTAGTCAGTGCTGCCTACCTCCTCCCACATACAGAGGTAAGAGAGAAGACACTCCTAGTTTGCAGTTTTGTTGTGCTTTGAGTGAAGTTAATGAAGTTAGGTTTTGAGTGAAGACTTCGCCACATCCCACGGCACCGGTAAACGCCTGATGTCAGGTTATTTCTGTATTTAACTTGCTTGCTTCATGGAACATAGTATGGTCAACTCTTAAATGGGATCTGAAGCCCAGTGAGATTTCTAGGCAGGGACAGCTTCGATGTCTGAAGCAGTTCATTGTGGCTCCTTCGTGCCGTTTGCAAACCTCCCTGGACCGCCTCGCACACAGCATTCTGAAAGAGCATTCATTTGGTTTTGCTATATTTGCTCCCTTTTCTAGAATAAACTTCATTTCTGTTCTTTGTTTTGTTTTTCGTTAAAGCCAAAACCCTGAGTTTCTAAGCCTACACTTTCAGCAGCTCTGAAGGTTTTTTATTGTCTTAGTTACTCCCTCCCCATGTTCAGGGTCCCTAGTAAATCAATCATATTTGCTAGCTGGTAAAATTGACAGATAGAATGCCAGCCTTGAATGAGAAAGGCAAGGCCTCCGGGTACCTCTACCTCCCTATGCTGGGATGACAGGCACAGATCTCCACACTCAGCTTGTGTGATGCTGGGGATTGAACCCTGGGGCTCGTGCATGCTAGGCAACCGCTCTACTGTTTGAGCTACAACCCCAGCCCTGACCTGGCATCTCTAAAAGTTGGTTTTAGGCATTCACCCTCTGTTATTCAGATGTCTTTGCCCTCCTCCATGGTCCTCTGGGAGGAAGAACATGCTTTTGGATCTATGTGTGCAGAAATACATTGTAGAAAGTTCCTTGACTGCACCCAGGAAAGATGGAGTTTTGGTGTTGCGGAGGGATTGTTGAGTGGAAATCAAGGTTCCGTTTGGAACAGCTGTGTCTGTTGGTCTGTTTTAAAACCTGCAGGCAGGCTTTCATATCCTCTTCTTGTGGTTCTAGAAGGCTTAGCTTTGGCTGGCCCTAGTCAGCATTAACATGGAGAAGTTGTGATTTCTGCTGTGAGTAGGCAGTACATGGTCACTATTTCATTTGCTCTTTCTTTTGTTTCTTTCTTGCTGCAGCTGAAGGAATACGAAGCCCAGCATCGGCAGTCAGCTGCCTTGGACCCTGCCGACTGGCCCGATGGCTCCTATCCGACACTGGATGGCTCGTCCACCTGCAATGTGAGTCTCTGTCCCCGAGCATCTTGATTGCCTGTGCTGATGAGGGTCAGCCTGAGCTCGTTCACCCTTTGTATTTCTTCCTAAGGTCTCTTTCCATAGACTTCTTTACCTGGTGGTGTCTCAGATAAATCAGAATCCCACCATTCAGGTCGGCTTTCTTGGATTTCATTTTGTAATCATGATTCAGTATGCATAGCAAACAATGCTAGCACATGAACCATCTCACGATTCAATATGCAAAGCGAACGATGCTAGCACATGAACCATCTTTTAGTGTTCAAGTCAGCTTCAGTGAGTATGTTCACATTGTGGGCCATGCTCTACTTCCAGAGGCTTCATAGCTTCCCACACACAAGTCTCAGCCGTTAAAATTGCTGCTTCCCCTCCCAGGGCCCTGGCATCCACCTTTGCACTTTGTGTCTTATAGAAGTGGAATTGCTCTGTTGTGTTTGCCCACCATGTATCTGTTTGATCCTAGCACCGCAGATAGATGCTTTTCTACCGCTGTAAGTCACGCTGTATTTAGGTTTACCTGTCTGTCGGTGGACAATTGGGTCATCTCCACCCTTTAGCTGTTGTGAAATGTTGATAAAAACATTAGTCTACCCCATCTGCTGTCATTTCTGTGGAGTTAAGTGTGTGGTTAAAATTCTCAAGGACTATGACAACTTCTGTATGTTTTCCACAGTAACCGAACCATGCTACACTACTGTCTGCAGTGTTCAGGGGTTCCAAATTTTCTTTCTCCCCAACACTTCTTTCTAATTTCTTGATAATTGCCATGAAATGTGTTTTCCATGAAATGCATTTGTGTTTCTGGTTTTCAGTTCCCTAATAATTATCAATGTTGGACATCTTTTTTTCTGTGCTTGTTGGTCACTTGTGTGTCTTGGGGGAAATGTTTATTCAAGGTCTTTGTACTCATGACCTTTTTTTGTTATTTTTTTTTTTTTTTGTTGTTCTTGTTGATTCTTAAAAACAACAACAAAACCCTCTGCTATTATTGGGTCTCAGGCATTTAAAAAAATTCCAAGTATTAATTCTATTTCAGATACATATTTTTAAGTATTTCCTCCCATACCGTGGGTTGCTTTTCACTATGTTGATGGTGTTCTTAAATTTTGAAATTTGGTTATAATCTTTTTCCCCAATTGCTCACATTTTGGGTGTCACATCTGTGTAGTCATTGCAGAAGCAATGTGTTGGCAATGATGGTACTCCACCACCCTGTTTTCCTCTGCTCTTGGTTTTGTAGGTTTTAGTGCTTAAGTTTTTTACCCGTATTGAGTTTGTGGATGTCCAGTTTTCCAAAAACTCTGTCATTTAACCATTGAACGGTCTTGACATCCTTTTTGAAAATTAAGTGACCATCTTCATGGGGGCTGTCTGTCTTGTGTATGACCTACTCTTATACTAGGATCTTACTGTTTTTACTACTGTAGCTTTGCAGTAAAATTTGAAGTTGAAACTTTATTTTTTAATTACGTGTGAGCGTATGTACACATGCGTGCGGTGCCCAGGGAGGCCAGATGGGGGAGCCATACCCCTGGAACTGGAGTTACAGGCAGTTGTGAGCCACCTGACACTGTGTCAGGAATGGAATTTGGTTCATCTGCCAGAGCTAGAAGGGTTCTTAAGCCCCATGTCATCTTTCCAGCCCCTTATTTACTTTTTAAACATTGTTTTAATGATTGGAGGTCACGTGAGATTCCATATAAATTTTAGGGTGGGTTTTTCCATTTCTGTAAAAGTTGCCATTGGGATTCTGGTGAAAATGCCACCAAATCTGTGGGTACACTTGTGTAGTACTGTCATCTGACAGACAGGAATCTTCCAATCCACACACATGGAAGGAACATCGTTTTTAGTTTTCGGTGTACTGTGAGCTTTGCATTTTGATTATGTCTATCCCTGAGTTTTGTGAAGGGAATAATTTTCCTAATTCCCTCAGCCGTCTGTTCAGTACTTTGCATACAAATGCAACTTAATCTCATTACGTTGGGCCTGTTATCTACAACTTTGCTGCTTTTGTTTTCTCTGACTATGTGCATTGACTATGTGCATGGTAGTGTGTGATCTGAGGCTTTCCCCTTCGTAAGATTGCATCACCATCAGCAAGGCTATTTGACTTCTTCCTTTGACACTGGAATGCCTTTCATTATTGATACTATTCTAATATGACCAAAGTAGTATGTTTTAAACTAAGAGTTTCACTATGGCTACAGGAATTGTAGTCTAGAATTTTACTACACAGTGACGTCTTCAAACAATGTGGATCGAGAATGTCGGGAGTTCCCTTGTGTTATATCTTATAGAACTGTTTTGTTTGCCATGTTACATCCTAACATTAGGAAACCCACCCTTCACCCATGACCTTAGGCAACTGTCTATGCCCTATACAACCAGTCTTTCTGTAATGAACTTCTTTATAAGATCTTTTTTGTTCGATTACATGTTTTGTAAAAAGCCCGATGCTTCTTTATTTTGTATAAGATAAATTCCATACTTTACGGCACATCCAAGGCCCTGTGTGATCTGGCCTTGATCATTTTCTCTGATCTCATCTTTTACTCCCACACCCAGTGCCCTTTTATTCCAGCCACACTGGTCAACATACTCATTACTGAACAAACCTTGGGCTTTTCATATTTCTGAGTTTAACCCACGCAATTTTTTTTTTAACCTAAAATGTGTCTTCTATTTTTTTTTTTCCCCTGCTGAAAACGTTTGCATTCTTCATGGCGAAGCTCAGTTTTTAACTTCCTCTATAAAACTTCCCTTAGCCTCCACAACACATTTATTGCTTCCTTTTTCATGCTTTTGTTGAGGCAGATTTAATACATCAGCCCTAAGCAGTTATCCTAGAGTATGAGAAATTGTGGTGCCTCTCTTAGCCTCCCTGGAAACGGCAGGCCCGTAGAGCCAGGTGGACATGCTATGCTCTTCGCCTCTGCAGGAGTACCTAGCCCATCGTCCAGCCCAGCTACGCAGAGCTTTACCAAGCATTCATTCTCCTGTAGCAGCAGGCTTGGAGGTCTTGCTACAGATTGAGTCTTGACTTTACCTTGTGTCCAAGCAACAAATGGTAGCTTATCAGAAGCAAATAACCCCTTTCACTACCTTCTTCTTCCCAGTTTCCAGAACAAACACTAGGTTTCCATTGCCCCAAAGGACTGTGAATTTGAAAGCCATGCCTGGTTTGCTGATAGACCACATTTATGCTAATAAATGTGTCTCAGGCTAGCCAGCCTTGGGTCCTGAGACTATGAGGTCATCAGGGAACCACGTCCATGGTTTTGAATATGACTCTGGCTCTCTCATCCCAAATGGGAAAGACTAGGACATGTGTATCACAAATCCAATTTGAATCATGGAGAATAAATAGAGCAACTCAAGATGGATGTGATTCACACTCAAACTGAGAGAAGACAAAGACTCAGCTGCCCATAGCGGAGCCTGTAGTATCATCAAGGCCACCGTGTACTGTCCTGATCTATCCGTCTAATTCAAGGACAAGCTTGATTTTGTCCATTCAGAGAAACAGGGTTGTCACACGCTTTGACTGCAAGCAGTGAGTCTTGTGCCATCTAAGAAAGAAGTTAACGTGTGCTAAGTTCTGTGGGCATTTTGTACAAGATGCCGGGGAAGCATTATTTCATTGGTGTTGGCTTGTCAAGCACCTTTAAGGGGGTCCGTGAGAACCATCGCCTACCTGTAAACCGTCAGTATGTAAGCACCAGGCATTTTGCTCTCTTAGATGTCTCATCGGGGAAATATATATATGGAGGCTTGATCTGAAGCAGGCGTAGCGCTAGCTCTTCAGGCTGCAAAGGTGAATGAGAAAGAGAGGCCCTGCCTTGACAGAGCTTACACTTTAGTGTGGATGTTAAAATCACACTCTTGTTTGCACACACACACACACACACACAAATCCAGGGTGCCAGACACACAGTTCCACTAGTAACTTCTCGCCAACCGTTCCTTTCCAGATGGCCCCCAAATAAATGCGCTCTATCATAATCCCATGAAGGGCCAAGAATTCCACACACTCCCTCCACATAGAGCACTGTCTTCAGGAAACCGTAAAGAATGACTTCTCTAGTCAAGCCTCGTGTGCAGAACTATAACCAACGAGAGTTGTTGTCCCGGAAGTCTGCTTGAACTTGGTTGCGGTCCTGACTTGCCGCTCTTACCCCGATTTGATCCTTGCCTGTGTTTTGAAGGAGACTGAGATCAACAAACCCCCACCCCCCAAATAGTCCATCACTGTTCTGAAATTGCCTCCACCACAGGGCTGTTAATGTCAGATAATCTGCATTGGAGATACACCCCCACCCGTCCGACATCCGAAATTAGACCATTTTCAGTTTTCTATTGATTCCTTTCTATACGGAGATGTAAATAGCTCACTGGTCATAGTTGGGAATGCCCAGACCTTAAAAGTGCCAGGGGATCATAAGGCCTTTGTCACCAAACCTCAATGCCTATATTGATGCCTGACACGCCTGAGGATGTCATTTACACTGATTTCATAGGCTCCTCTGCCCCCACAGCTGACATTAGATAATTGCCTCATAAGAAACCCGTATGCGCATTCCTGGTCTCTAAGAGTATAGAGTCCTAAAGATAGTTATCAGGGCAAGTGAGAAATCCCTTTCTTCTTGCCAGAGAAGCATCTGTTCTGTGCTGGATTCCCGTTAATAATGAACTTCTGTTGTCCACGTTGGACTATTTACAAGGGGCTCTGCTTAAGAATCTAATTTTATTCCTTCTTATATAGCTGGATGTTTACTTAAATATTTTTCTTTTAATTTATTTTGGCAATTGTTTCCCCCACGTGCTTCCTGCCAGGTGGAAGGTTATAAGAATTGTCATTCGCGGCTGTCACTTTTGTGCCATCAGGTTCAGCGTGCCACCCTGTTAAGAATGCACTTAAGGGACTGGAGAGGTGGATGAGCAGTTAAGAGCCCATGCCACTCTTCCAGAGGCCCCAAGTTCAG